GTATGCCCTGAACATCCCACTGCTGTGCATCCGGGGAGTTAAGTACTTTTAATAGCAATTCCCTCACAGCAGACCTGCAAGCAAATGATACCATTTATAAGATAGTAGAGTTGGAAGGGGCCAGAAGGCCATTGGGTCCAACCCACTGCTCAATGCTGGACTTCCTAGATGGCCATGCAGCTGGCTGTTGAATACCTCCAGTATGGGAAAGCCCATGACCTCCCTAGGTCATCGGCGACATTGCCACACTGCTGGAACAGTCAGGAGATTTTTCTGGCTATCTAGCCGGAATCTGGGTTCCTGTAACCTGAACCTGTTATTCCATGTCCTGCACTCTGGGATGACTGGGAAGAGATCCTGGTCTTCCTCTTTATGACAGCCTTTCAAGTCCTCGAAGAGTGCCGTCATGTCTCCCTTCAGACTTCTTGAGGCTAAACATGCCCACTTCTTTCCATCTCTCCCCATAAGGCTTTGCTTCCCGTCCCCAAAACGTTCTTCTTGCCCTCCTCAAAACCCTTTCCAGCTTGTCTGCATCTTTCTGAAACCAGTTCTGGTGTCCAGAACTGGAAACATATCCCACCTTCTCTCCTTTCAAGAAACTCAAGACTTTCCTCCTCCTCCTCTCCCCACAAAAACAACCCTTTCAGGTAGGTTGGGCTGAGAATCTGCCACTGGCCCAGAGTTACCCAGTGAGGACATGAACCCAGATCTCCTGAGTCCCAGTCCTGCACCCTTAGCCACTGGACCACAATGGGAATACAGCCTGTTAAATTCAGTGGGGCTCACTTCTGAGTAGATGGGTACAGGATGCCACTGCATAAGAACAATTACAGGCATGTTTAAATAGAAAGACAGTCCCACAATGCTTCCTGTCTAAACACTCATAGGGAATGGTCCTGAATATAGGAGTTCAGTTTGTTCTTTGGTCTAAATGCTTCTCAAATGTCTTTTCATGTGGTTTTATGGAGTCATCTCTATTCTCCTCTATAAATGTCAGCCTACCATATTCATATATACCTCAGGTTATAAATTCAACTCACCTCCTTCTACCCAAATCAATCTGTAGGGTGTTTTTAGTTTAAAAGGGATTAAAAACAGAATCACAAAGTACTTTGCAATTCTTGCAGAGAAGGCGCAGTCTGTTAGAAACCCTACACCAATGATCCATTGACTGCTCTCTGGTGGAGGAAATGGCAGATTTCCTTCACACATGGAGCAGTCTCCTCTTGGGTCCTGGGAAGGTCAGATGCTCTTGGAGAGCCAATCTGATGCCTTCCTTCCACATGTCAGGTTTCTAGCAACCCTTGAGCTTTCAGGATGCTGTTTGGATGAGCTTATGACCATGGTCAGTTTAGGTCAGGAAGCTGAAGGGAGATGTCCTGCCATTTGCGTGTTCAAGCCAATTAAGGTTTTACTTTCACATTGCATTATGATTCCGGCAAAAGACACATTCACGTGTCTCCATAGCCTTGTTTGGGTGTCCAAGAAACAGAGGCGTGGACGGGAGACAAGTGTCTGGCACTTCATCTCAGACCTTTCCACGTTGACAGGAAAGAGCTGCAGCGACCTTGTTTGGATGCTGGGGCATTTGAAGCCCTGTGTGCGCAGGGTTCCCACCGTTCACCAACACTGACCATTCACCCAGTCAGGTGTTGTCTGCACTGATCGGCAGACAATCCCCAAAGTTTCAGGCTGGCTTCTTTCCTTGTCTTACCTGGAGAAGCCAGAAATTGTGGCATGCAAACCATGTGCCCCTGCCACTGAGGACCTGCTTCTTCGGGACCTTGGATGATGGTTAAGCAGGGGACCTTTTGCACGCCAGACCTGTGGAACGCAGGTAGCTGCCACATAACAGGTCGGGGTCCAGGTCCAGGTAGTCCAGTGCTGTTTTGATGGAGAGCAGCTGTCCATGGAGAAGCATCTTCCTCCTTCCCTGTTGTTGGAGACCCCCTTTGGCCAAGGGATTCTGGGAATGAATGTGAGTCCTCCCACATGCAGATGTCTAGGCGCTAAGGGATGGTCCCTCCCCATATTAGCAGTTGAGGTCTTCTAGTAGTCTGCATTAACCCACACTGTGGTTCCTTGGGTCTGACCTTTTGGTTTGCAGAGCTGTGCAAAGAGCCAATTTTTTTTTAAAGAAACAACAGCACTAGCTAATGAACAACACTCATATGAATGTACCTCCACCACTCCCCAGGCCAAAATTCCCAGGATATTAGCAATGGTAATTTTATTTATTTATTTTTTGCACAATCAGGAATAAGTCTTGCAACATTGTTGTGAACTCTGGAGGCTGTTTCCCATTTTATTGTTTGGATAAATAGTTTACTTTAACATCTGTTCCTTCAGCATGTATCATTTTAGTCAAAGAAAAGACCTGGAGCCAGTTCCCACTTTTGATCCATAAACACTTGTCTAGGATAAGCCAGTGGGATATCCAAGCACACATCAGCAAACCAAAAATCTTCCAAAGCTTAGGCTATTCATTATTTTCATTCTGTGGCTTCAATGACAACGACGAAAACAACAACAGCAACAATAATTTCCCTCATCTTGTCATATTAAACAGTGGTTAAGTGCCTAAAATTAAAGCAAGCTGTATTAAATTGCTATAGTTCCTTTCTCAGTATTCATAGAAGCAATGTCAACCTCATTTACAGACAAAAGTCACTCTCAAATTAAGTTACCATTAATGGACATTGCTGTGAGTTTATTTTATGAATCAGAATTGAAACATGCCGGCTAGAATCCATACCCTAAAAAAAGTCTACAACCCTGCCAAAACCACCATTGATCTCCACAGACTGCAAGCTTTTGCCTTAACAGGATTATTTGTTAGGCCTGAAATATGTCACAGAGCCAGTGACCCAGTACACGTTGTGGATTTCCCCGCAGAAAACAATCCACCAGCCATGGAGGCTGGACAGCCAGGGACCTGATAAACCACCAAGTTCTGCCACTTGTCTCCGGCAGCAAGCAAACGGTCTCAGGCCCTTCTACTGCACATTATTCTTCATAGGTTATGCAGTACAAGCAAACCTGTGTTTCAGTGTATCTTCACCCCGTACGAGGAATCTTACTGCTCTGGGGTTTGGATAGCCATGCCTTCTTCCAGGATACTATTGAGGCAGAAGTCAGGCAAGGCATCTCTCGCTCTCTCTCGCTCTCATTTCTAACTGGCACAGAACAGCTCATGGGAATTGCCTCAGCCTCTTCAGCCCTTTCTAGAATTGCTCCCCCTGGAGGGGGGCTTAAGAGACCTTTTCCTGCACTTCTGCAAACTTTGGAACTCCCAGGAACCTGTGGACATCTCCCTCCCGTTTCTCTGTGGTCTCATTTAGGCTTCAGTTGTGTTGGTGCAGCATCCCAACAGATCTGGAGTTCAGTGCTCTTTGCTACAGGGAGGGATGCTGATCCATACAGCCCCAGACTGGGTTCCAAAGCCCCGGGCAGACCATGGTCCCTGCCCACGTGCGTATGCGCATGTGTGTGGAAATGATACACTTTATTAATCCTTCTATCTCAGTAGCTCCAAGCTCAAACTCACTTCTTGGGAACGGCTGTAATCAGTTCTGATGTCCGCTCCTCATAAGTCCAGCAGCTCTGTTAACCCTGAAATCCTGCTCCCAAATTTTGAGTTGCCTCTTTGGACCAGGTTAAGTCCCCTTTACCTCCATTTTTATCCCCCAAACTAAGTAAAAACAGAAGAAGGGATGTAGCTCACTGGTAGAGCTCCAGTTGTTTTGGAACTCAGCTTCCAGCATTCGTGACCATTGACCATGTGGCCAAAAGCTTATGGGAGTTGAAGTTGATAACATCTGGAGACAGACCTTCTGCCCACCCCTTTTAGACCAGTGGTCACCAACCTCTGTAGACCCAGAAGTTGACTTTTAGCCATCACCTGCAACATGGAATTTGTTTTCACAGTTTTAGGGTGTCTGTCTTCTCCTCTTGCCTGCATTTCCCTTTCACATTAACTCTCCTCCTAAGAATATAAGAAGACTCCCACCGGATCTGACAAGGGTTTGTTTCCTACAGTGCATCAAGTCAGCTTCCCTCTGTTGCTGCCGCCACCCTACACTCGCCCTACGCTACAATAAATATTCAGGGATGTATGGCCTCTGAGCTTGTTGGTTCCATTTGGATACCTGGGCCAAAAGCTGCCAAGTCCTCTCCTGCACGGCACCATCCAACCCTCTTTACAGCCATGCATTGCTGCAGTTGGTGGCAGCCAACTCCACACTGAATCCACCACCAAGCAATTCCATTGGGAATCGGCTCCAGTTTCTAGAGCTAGAAAGCTCTCCCACGTTTCTTCTTTCCTACTTTTTATCTTGATCTTAAGACAGGAACCCACCCCATCCCAGTGGGGAAAAGGAATCAATAATGAACACAACATTTAATTTTTTAAAAAAAAATCTGGTTTGCTGAGTTTAGTATAAAAAGAATTAAATGTAGTTCGCTTGCTAGGGTGCACCATTTTATTTGGTTTCTTTTTACTGTATTTTTTAAAAAATTGGGGTGTGTCAGGGCTACATGGTGGGCATGTCATGAGTGGAGCCGGCTGGAGTAGGGGGTCAGACTAGATGGCCCAGGAGACCCCTTCTGACTCACTCTGTTTCTATGTTTCTACATGTGACCCTTGTGTTGTCCACTAATCTTTTAAAAAGACACCAAAAATGAAGAAAAGAAATGGCAGTAGTATGAATAGTATCAATCGTCCTAGATCAGCTTGTAAGCTAGTCTCAGGTCAGGATCTACCAGCTGGACCAATATTCTAGAGTTAACTTTTCATTCCGAGAGTGTTCCATATCGTTAGTTGCAATCGTGAAAAGCACCGAATGGGATCTCATCCTTTGCCACCCAAACTCTGAAATCTGCTGCAGCCTTACAGATGCAACCCGGCCCCTGAGCCAAATTATTATTGATGCCCTCTCTTACCTTGTCCCATAACCGTGTGCTGCAGGGATGTGCTTTCCGCCTCGCAAGCAGCTCCTTACCTTGGCACACGTTGTGATCACTCGCCTCAAACCCAGCCGCACACTGTATCTGCGACGGCACGTAATCTGCAGGTGTTCGCCGAATGATCGGGTTACCATTTCGACCGCTGGTGGTTTCAGGTGGGGGTCCTTCCTGACCATTATTGACAATGATATGAGCTGTTTTGGGCAAACAGAGGTATCCTCCAAAGTGGTTAACACATTTCATCCCACCTTTACAGGCATCGGGCACAATTTCGCACTCGTCAATATCTGTGATTGTGAACAAAATGAAGGTGGGCATCAGAAAGGGAACAGTACAGAAACAGCATGTGTCTACTAGCCTGAGGCACGTGCTCCTGCCGAGTCTTGGAGCTAAGCAGGGTCGGGCTGGGTTGAAATCTGGATGGGTGACTTAAGTCCTGCATTGAGCAGGCGGCTGCACTCGCTGGCCTGCTGGGCCCCTTCCAACTGTATGGTTCTACGATCTATGATCTCGAGTGGGTTGTCAATTTATTTATGCTGTAAGCCATCTAGAGATGCAAGTAATTGGATGGCATACAAATTTTATAAATAAATTAAATAAATAAATGAATGAATGAATGAATGAATGAATAAGTAAGATTTCCTGCCTCCAATGAAGGTAACTGATCCAAATGGGTCAGGGTTTTGGGAATATTACATTGCGTGAATTGTACTTTATTTTTAATCTGCTAGGTTTTATTGACGTTTTTATGCCGGCTTCTTATTTTTATCTTACGCCATTGTTTTAAGCATTCAAATGTTTATATTGTATTCTATTGCATTTATGTTGTGGACTGGATTGCTGTGAATCATCAGGGAGCTTTGGCTACTGGGCAGTTGAGAAACGTAATAAACAAACATCAGCAGCAGGTCAATGCAAAGAGAGAAGGTGGCTGCACTTGCAAAAATTGGACTGATTCGGTTAGATTTGGCAATGTCTAAATTAAAGGAGGACTCCTCCAATCAGAACCTGAATGCTTCCCGAGATGTGGAATTCCAAGGGGTGGAGACAGCACATCTCTCCAAAGTGCTACACACGATGACACCAGACTGGGGAGAAGGGAGAGATAGCACTGCTTTCCGAGTGGCAGCTCCAGGTTCTAATGGTAATGAATGGATTTACCAAGGCCAAGCGCAAGCACATTGGTGTGGTAGAATCGGTGTGATCTGGGAGGGTGTAGCATTGGGTGCTTGCTTGGAAAATGTTGTGATGGCTGCCAACCAGGATGACTTTAATGAGGCATTAGACAAATTCATGGAGGGTAAGGCTGTAAATAGCTACCGGCCATGAAGGCCAAGTATGATGTCCCAAGCCGAAGCCTATGTCTTACAACATGAGTTGCAGGGGAATGCCTCTGGATGTCCCATGGGGTATCAAGTTGGCCACTCTATGAACAGAATGTTGGACCAGGTAGAGCTTTGGGCTGGTTCATCAGGGCTTTCCTTGTGATCTGCGCTGTGAAAATGTCCTTTGTCATGAAGAGCATTACATAAATCTAATGCATAATCTTCTCTGTACTTGCTTTGTAATTTCCAGAACATGTTCAGGAAGCAGAAATGCCTTTGGACACGTTTCTCTCATCCCTGTAGAATTTCCGATTCGTCTTTTGGGTCAAGGAAGGGATTTCTGGTGTCTGTTCTTCTCACACGCCATTAGCAGTGTTGGAGCTGCTACTTGAAGAATTATCCATTCAGTAATGTCTGAACGGACCAACTAGCTGCAGGTTATGTGTTTCACCCCCCAGTTTGCATCCAGCAGAGAGTCCGAACACAGAAACCTCTTGCTCCAGATCACATGTGGACAGCCTCTTTGGGGTCAAGAGCCATGTTCAAACTCCCAGGGACTAAGGCAAAAATGCTGGGGACAAGGACAAAAATACAATACCAGTACCTTCCACCCAGCATATCGTAGTTCAAAACTTTGCAACCAGTAATGAAACCTTAGGAATTTTTTGACATTTTAGAAGGTGGAGAGTCATCATACAAAAACTGGGAATCCACAAAGAAAAGGTGGTCAGTGGGAAAAGCTTGTAATGTGAGAAAAGGAGTGTGGAAAACTCTGAGGGTCAGGTTAGGCAGGCTGGTTTTGGCCTCAGATTGGCCTGAGGGTTAGGGTTAGGGTTAGGGTACCTTTGCACCGCTGCATGACAGGGTCCCATTCATAGCCATCCGTGCATTGCTGCATGAAAAACAGAGAAAAGAAAGTCAACCATCCCAAACACATTGACCAAAATCAAATTAGTTTACTTGTGGTCAGTCCAGGCACACAGAGCTGCGGTGCAGAGCTGTCTCCCATATCCTAGAGACCCCACAGAAGAATCCTGCCTCCTTCTCCAGTGAGCAACCACAGGGACAGCACTGAGCCACCCATCCCTGTTGCTGGCCTTCGGGCTTTGCAGAATCTTAAAAAATCCATGAGGACTAGTTTGCTGGCTGATATTGCTGTGTTCTTGGTGATCTACAGTGCTAAGAATCTTTCATTATTTTATTCAAAGAATACAATGATTCTTTGCAATCTACAGTAAAAGTGCCATTAAAATGTTGTCTGTAAGGGTAGAATTTTAATCCTTCCTTATTATATACTTTGCTTACATGAGATTCTCAGCATTTTCATACCAATCCAGCCTACAGCAGCTCCAGCTCCAGCATCAAGTGTCCCTGGACCACCAAGGAGTCTGGCTCAATGGCTGAACACATGGTCTCTATGTTAAAGATTTGACCCCAATACCCCCCATTATGAGATGCATTCAGTCTGCTCTATAAAGGTCTAGGCCTGTGGCTAAGCACTCTGACCTCTGTTCCAGTTGGAGGTCTCTTTGTACTTGTGTTTTAAAATCCCAGCCTTCCCTTCCATGAAATGATGTCCAACACACTTTCTTTAATTCTGGAGATTTGTCCTTGCCTGCCATTAGGGCAATTTGAGGGATGATAGCTGAGATCATAATAAATGTGCCATTACAATCAACCAGTTCTTAGCTTGCGAATCCAACCAAGGATGCCTGGGGCTGGCTGTTCTCTGCAGGGTTTGAGCCCTACGAAATTTAAGAAGGCAGAAAGTCACTGCGGATGCAAAACTAATGGGCCAGTGAGTGTGGTTCTACCAAGCCTCTTCCTCAACATGTTAGAACTGAATGAGCAGATGAACAAAGTGGAGGAAGCTCAGCGAGAATGGGGGATTCTGGGTAGTGGCACTGACAACGGTGTTCCTGCTAATCAGAAAGCAGTGGTGTTGCGCCCCTGGGGGATTTGGTTCTACCACACCACTGGTCAAGCAACAGGTAAGCTTCAACAACCGTTGACAACAGCTGTTGTCCTGCAACAGCAACAGCAGGGGGTTGGACCTGATGGCCTTCATGGCCCCTCCTAGCTCTACTGCTCTACGAGTCTATGAAAAGGCCACCAAATGGGGTTAAGACATTTTGACACCTGGAGCAGAGAATCCAAGTGGCAACAACTTCCCTGCCTCTACAAAATTAATAATTTTAATAATCACATCACCTACACATGCGAGCAAGTTTTTTTAAAATATCTGAGTATCTGCTTCCCTTTCTGCATTTGCACAGTGCCGTCTGCCGATGGCTGCTTTGTCTGTTTTGGATGTCCAAAAGTTAGAAGATGCACTGCAAGCAGCACCTTGTTTGGTGCCACCAAACACCAAAAGGACGTTTGTCCGCCTTGCTGGGGAGTAGCAATGGCTACCCATTTAAAGCATGGCCGGGTTTAACTGGCCCAAGCAGACGGGCATAGGCGAGCCTGTTGTGCTGAGCACATGTTTTCATAGCACCTTGGAAGAAAGGGAAAGCCTCAGGTTAATGAATCAGCTTGTCGTCGCGAGTCAAGTTCACCCCTGCCGTAACTTGGTAGGCACCCGCGGAGCTTGTGCCCAATTACGGATCTGTCCTGGCCTGCTGATGGCCGTGTTGCTCAACCGCTGGGCTGCCGCTGTTGTTTTTCAGCAGCTTTGTTATTCAAGGAGCTTAAGCCTCCAACAGAAAGGAGAAACATTTTTCTGTTGATTCACAGGTGATGCTTGTGCTCTGCCAAATCTAGCAGCGGAGGGGGCAGAGGGCAGCTAATTGCATTAGAATTCCAGCTCTCTGAAGGAATGACAGCATCTTCAGTTGACACAATCAAAATTACTGTAGCTACACAAAGAATGCCACCCCCCCCAACAGGAAGCCTCAAAGGAAAACTGCAAACTCACTGAATCTCCCCAATGCCTGTTTAATGCACAATAGAAGTCACACCCATTTAATGACCCCAACGGGGCCAGTTCATTGCTGACTTATTCTGGAGAACTTTCATTAACATGAATTCAAGTGCACCATTGCTGAAAATCAGCAAAGGGTTTCTTAACAGAGGAGTCTTGTGCGAGTCTACTCAGAAATGAGTCCCACTGAAGTCAGTGGGATTTACTCCCATTCTCAGGCTGCAATCCTAAACATACTTACTTAGGAGTAAGCTCCACTGAGTGGATAGGGCTGTACTGCCGATCCCTTTTGCTCTGCAAAATTCTGGGCCAAAGGATTTAAAGGATTTGTAAACAAAACTGGAATGGTAATGTTTATTTATAAAGTGCCCTTAATGCTTATGGCATATTTTAGAATCAGAGAGGCAAGATGAGAGCTCCCCACACCCATCACTGTACAATTCTAGTGCTGAAGTTGGGGGAAGCAATTTTTTAAAACATGCATAAAGACTCTCTTCTCCCTTGTCTTTGGACAGAGTGGGTGCCACCTTCAAGGCAGCTAACTGTACAGATTCAACCATAACAACTATTTGAAAGCTAAAATAACAAACTGAAAACAATCACATAAAATTAATCAGCAGTTTGAAAGCCAAATACACATACATACAACAAAAATATATTAATAGCAAAGAATAGAATTAATTGGCTCATCGAAGGAGCCAAATATGCTGGTTTCTTTTTTTCTTTCCATAGCTTTATGAAAATTTAGTCATAGAAAATTAGTTTAAAAACCAGCTGAAAATGCGGGGGGGGGGCAGTTGTAGGACGTGTGCATTGCATAAAAAGTGTTTGCATAAAATCTGATTCTGACAATGAGCGGATGACAGAGCCAAGAGCACCTGAACATCTGCACAATGCTAGAGCTAAGAGTTTGCCTACTGTGGAAAATTGAACCAAGAGAGGGTGTCACTGCTAAGAAGACCCTGCCTCCTATGCCCATCTGTTAAAATTCTGACACATGCTCTGTGTGCAGAAGGCCTGAGGTTCAATCCAGATTTTAGTGAAAGATCTCACAGTGATTGTTGGGAGGCCTCTCTCTGCTGGAGAGCCACCGCTGGTCTCCAGGGATGGGCAACTAGTGCTCCTCCAGATGATCTGGCCTGCAAGTCCCATCTTCCTTCGCCATTAGTTATTCTGGTCTACACAGCTAAAACCAAAGGACTGGAGGAATACACATGCTTTGAAAGCCCCCTTGAAAGTCTTGGGGTGGCCTCTGTTGGCTTTGTTCTGCATGTCTTGAGGGAAAAAGGTGTGACCCAAACCCTACCCTCCGTGTATAAAGCCCCCTTGAAAGTCTTGGGGTGGCCACTGTTGGCTTTGTTCTGCATGTCTTGAGGGAAAAAGGTGTGACCCAATACCCTCCGTGTACATACAGGACATTGTGGGTGAGGATGTTCCAGTGTATCTCAAAGATGGCCAAGGCCATTCAGTGTCAGCATCAGCACTGTGAATTGTGCCTGGAAATGAACTGGCTAACAGTCACATCTAACCCTGTGCTAAATACATATTCTGTTAAATTTAATGTGATATAAAATGCCCTAGTGTAATTTCTTAATATGTAATTTTTGAGAAATAATGCAACCTTCCTGCCTAGTGAGGCTCAACCCCATTTACTCTAAGGGAAGGAAGCAGATGCTTTGTCAAAGCAACAAAGACTCTTTGACACATTAAAGACATACCAATTAATTATGCCAAGCTTTCATGGACATCTGTGCATCTGACAGACTGCGTGCTAGTCCACAAAAGTTACGTTATGATAAATCTGTGAGATGCTTTCACAAGGCTCTTTGTTGCTGTGCTGCACCAGATTTGCATTGCCTCTCGATACAAGTATCTGATGGATTCTGATGTTATTGACTTTCCCCGAGTTTGTAGAATTACTCTTGAAGACCCGCTAACATACAATATTTCTCTTTTTCTCTTCTTTTCCTCTCTCCCCAGTTCAAACTAGATTTTTACCGTGTATGTGATAGTTTCTTCTGCTTCTTGTGAGTGTACTGTGGTAAGCATCAGTGCAGCAAGGACTGTGAACGCCACCATCTTGAACCTTGAGAAAAAGGAAAAAAATGTTTTAAAAGTGGTTTTACACACATCCACGTGACACCACACTCGCCCCAATATTTCTGCCTAAATAGAGGTTTACTGTTCCTTACAGTGCTAATCCTTCAGGTGGGAGGAAAAGTTTCTTCATACAAAATTATCTCCCTCTGCTTAAAGCTCAGTGAGAAGTGTCCAATGCTTCTTGTTTTCTACATGAAAGGAATTATTGGTATACAGGAACATTCAATGATGTGATTTTAGCAATTTGAAGTTGTACAACCCAAACACAAGTTTACTTCCTTATTTCATCCAGTATCAATTCCAAATCTAACCTTGCTTAGACCTGGGGTGATTTTCTCACCCCGGACAAAACTGACTCAGGCAAGGCCAGTGTTAGGCCTTTGTTGGATTTTTGCAAGAGGTTTGCATCCACATAGGAATGGCTTTCAGGTTGCAGCTAGTACAGGTCATTAAAGACTTAATGGCAACGTACAGCAATTAAATCCACATAATATCACTTGGCCTATTGACCTGCATACCAACAGTTTGTTCTACAAACTTCAAACCATCATTAAATACTCAACTTGAATGGATTGTAGTTCTTTTTCCAGGAAGTGTGCACTACTGTTCTTGACTTTCAAAAGAGGTAAGATGACCTAACATCCACATCTTTTTGTGTAACAAAATGTGTTCTTTGTTTGGGAGTCACAAAAGCATCCCACAGGCCTTTTTTTGGTCAATTTGTACCATTGGCAGGAAGCTAATATTTGGGAATTTTTTTACCAGCCTGATTTGATAAGGTCTTTGATAAGGACCAGAATATAGGTCTACACTCAACCAATAAGGGAGCTTGGGGTCACCCAAGCGCCCCACAACACAAGGTGAAGGGGGAAGATAGACCCGAGCAGATCTACACAATCTTGTTCAATCGGTAAGTATATGTAAACATATGTATGGCAACCGTGATGGTGCTTGTACTTAAAAAACCAAAGCCACTCCCCAAAATAAATAAATATTCTGAGTGATCAACCTGAGCTGAATTCCTACAGTTACTATGAGGTATTGAAAAAAACCATGGCAAATGTGCCTTAAATGGAGTGTTTGTTTTTGCAAAGTTATTCTGAGTCTCACACACACACACACACACACACACACACACACACACACACACACATCAGAGGCTGCACCTTCAGGAAAATGATGGCAACTTTACCTGAAGCCAGAAAGCAGGACAAAGGCAATGAAATTCTTTGGGATTCAGCAATACTGCAAGTCCGCCTTGGTATCTTTTCAGAGCTACAGAAAAAAAGCACACACAGATGCTGTAACAGAACTGCTGAGTAACTGACTGCAGTGGCTAGTTTTGCAACTCAGTTTACTGACCAAGCCACAAGATTACACAGATCACACAAAATCACCCCCTTGAAACCCCGATCCTGGCCTTATTCGTAATTGGCAAACCATGAGGACCCTGTACCGAGGGAGCCGCAGGATGCAGCTGCTTCCACCAAGTCAAACCACCGGGCCAGCCTCCTCAGCCATGGGCCAGTGGTCCAGCTGGCCGAATGTCTCAGGGAAGGGCTCTTTCCCAGCCTTGCTGCGGCACCAAGGAGCATGGGCTAGCAATGGGGAGAGAGGCCTGGATTCAGGCTCTGATTCTGCCATAGCAGTGGGCAAGTGTGGGCCAGTGGCCACCTTCTGTCTCTGGGCAAGCTTTTTTCATCCAAGGACTGCTTTTCCTTGCTGGTACCCGGTCAAGATCCTCGTGTCAGCAGTGGGTGGGCAGAGCCAGAGGCAAAATAGGGTCAGACCAGGGTTGCAAAAGCCCCCTCAACCTGCTCCTCCTCCTCATCATGGGGGCCTGGTTGCTCATCTGCCTCTCACCAGGGCAGTGGCTCACCCCTCGGGTACCGCTTTTCCGAGGTCAGCAGGTCCCAGGATTCCCATTCTCTTTGAGCTTTGCTGCACTCCCTAGAGAAGCTAGTGAGGGGAATCCATTCCCCAGAAGCAGCATATTGCTGTTTGCAGCAATAATGCGAAGTTATATTGGGTGCCTTGGGCTGGAATGGCTAATAAGAGCCGTGAGCTTTACAAAGGAGCTGTTCCTACTGGAGATGAAAGCTGCTAGAAATGGTTTGTTGGCATGGACCAGCTGTCTGTATTTTGGATTCTGCTGGAGGACACAGATATGGGGTTTGTCCTGATGATCGTCAGCATGTCAAAACCGACCACAGCAACTTTGGAGGGATTAATTCATTTTTAATCATCTTTGAGCATGCTGACTTGAATGCATAAAGAGCATGTTAGATAGAAAAATGCCCCACATCACCCAGAAACCCTGAACTTTTTTCTGACAGATCTTGTCAAGAATAGATATAGATGACAATTCTTTCTGCCACCATATGCGGAAGGCCCAGCCCTCACTGAGATGCCACACCTGGATAGGTGCAGAATGCAGGTAAGGAATCATGCGCAGGTTGATCCAATCTGCAGGTGAAAGGGGACACAGCAGGTTAGCCCTGTCAGCAAGGAGCATGGGACGCAGAGCATGCCTGCCTGACACAGCGGGGGCGGGTGGCTGAGCGCACCCCTCTTATATCTTATGGGAAACCCACAAGAGGTAGCATATGGCTGTGGATGGCCTTCTCCTTCAGGAATTCATCCAGTCCCCTTTTACAGCTCTCCACATTGGGGTCTGCCTTAGATCTTGTGGAAGTGAATTCCATCGCTTAACTTGGAGCTGTGTGAAGGACTGCTTTCTTCGGAGGAAAGAAAGGGGTGGAGAGAGAGCACAAGGGAGGGAAATCTCAAGAAATGCATACAAATAAGGCCTTGGAAGAAAGTATCTTTCCTGCTCCTGGCTCTCAAAGAATTTGACTCCATCTGGAATTAAAGCCTGGACCTCTAAATTGCTATGGAACGGGATGAAAAAAACATATGATCTCACCAGAGATCCCCACACCAGCCCATCAAACGTAACGCAGAAATTGGAAACAATACTAAGCCTTTTCAAATAAGAAAGATGTGTTAAAAAGTGGGAAGGGGGAAATCCACCCATCAGCTTCTTTTCCATCTATATATCATTGATCATCCAAACATGTCTTGGAACAGTCATCAAGAACATATGACTCAAATATTAAGTGTTTGATGTATGCAGATGTCTTGGTCTTATGACAACAGGGGTGTCAAGCTGGCTGACTAAATTCACAGATGATACCGAACTGAGGAGCAGGTGATCCAGAGCCAGAAGGATCTGGGCAGGCTGTGGAAGTGGGTGGGGGACCACAGGGTGGCATTCACTGTGGCGAAGTGCAAGGTCTTACACTTGGGACACAGGCATAGGTGTCACAGGTACAGGATGGGGCACGAGTGGCTGGAGAGCAGCACTTGTGAAAGGGACCTTGGGGTTCTTGTCATCAGCAGGCGGAACATGAGCCAGCCGTGTGACGTGGTGAAGAAGGCATATGCCACCTTTGTATGTATAGCCAGAAATGTGGCTTCCAGATCTAGGGAGGTGTTGATACCATTCTAAACAACTCTGGTGCACCCACAACTGGAGTATTGCATCCAGTTCTGGACTCCACATTATATGAGAGACATAGGTAGGTTAGAATCGGTTCAGTGCAGGGTCACAAGAATGGCAGCTGGGTGAGAGGGATGACATTTGAGGAGAGATTGGGAGAACTCCGCCTTTTCAGTCTGGAGAAGAGGAGATCTGAGCGGATCTTTTAGCAACTTAGCAATGTGAGGGGATGCCATGTGAAGGGTGGGGGGCGTGACCTGTTCTTCCCTGCAGTGGAGGGCAGGATGTGTTCCAAGGGGGCAAAGCTCAAGGAATCTGGCTTCAGGCTGGATGACAGAAAGTACTTCCTGAGTGCTAGGACCCCTAGGATATGGAAGGGGCTTCCAAGGGAGGTGGCTGAGGCCCCATCAGGGTGCTGTAGTGGCCAAGTCTCAGCCCAACGTACTTCCCAGAGTTGCTGTTGTGAGGATCAGATTGAAAGGAGAAGGAGAATTATGCAAGCTGCCTTGACCTGGAGCCAGAAATCAGACTAGATGGCCCAGAGGGCCCCTTCTGACTTTCTTTCTATGTTTCTATGAGTTTCTTGGAAGGAAAACTGGTAGGATTTAAAGATAATGAATGAATGAAGGTGGTGGGACAAGTCCATTCTTCCTGGAGTCACAGTCTGCCCCTTTCAGCTGTAGGGAAGTTCTTCCTCTGGCCAAATCCTGCTTTCCCTGAGTATTTGGTAGTTCCCAGGGTCCACATGCCCCCATTTCCAGGGGAGGGCAGTGCTGCGTAAGTGGGCTTCCAATCTACTGCAGCTTCTATTTTGAGCTTAATGAGAGCTATCCATGGTGCTGAACTTCATCCCCAACACTGGTTTACCACCATAGAGCAGTATGGCTGGCTTCTATAAGTTCAAAATGAAAGTTGCAATGGGTAGGGAGCCCCACCGTCGTAGGAGTTACCAACCTACCCCACCCCTTCCATTCTGGTATGTTTTGCACCCTGCTTTCCACTGTCCCAGTGCATTCTGCACCTGCTCCCCAACGGACACGGTCCCCATCAGCTTCTCTTTAACTGAAATTGACCTGCAGCATGGAAGGAATTGGACACACCGTCGGAAGGCAAGTGACAGTCTTGGGTGGGGCGGGGCAGGGCGTTCATTCCAAAGCCTGGGAATGGATCTTGAACAGTTTCCTATTGTGGGGGCCCCCATTTCCTTTGATTGCTGAGTCAGTTCCAAAGGTCTCTTTGTGGGTCACAAATTACCTGCTCGCCTGTTGACTCCCGCATCAGCCGAGGCACAGAAAATGGAAGTAAGAGTGGCTGAATGGCATAAAAGGAGGACACGGCTCTAAGAACTTATCCTGGGAAGGGGAGGGTTCAAGGCCCTTGCAGAGGCTGTGGGAGGGCTAATATTAGAAGCCCCCCTCACCCACCCCACCCCATCCCGCTGCCTTAAAAACGGATGGCCGCTGGCCACAGTCCAACCTAGAAAAGCACACCAAAGACGAATAAGCAAAAGCATGGCCCATCCTAAAAGTCATACACAGGTCCCTAAAACTTCAGCAGTCATGCCAGAAAACATGGCAAGAACCACTATGCTCAAAAGAAGCTCAAAATCTTGAAGGAAGCAACACTGGGCACCAATGAGTGGAGAAGATGCATGTCTTCAAATGGGCTTTATTAGGTTTTAACCTGAAGACTAACAATATATTTTCACTGAAAGAACTGAGAATGGAGAACGGGACAGACTTCCTTGGAAAAAGGCATGGCTTGGTGGCTGGAACCTCAAACAGGAGCAGTTCACACCTGCAGCAAAATATTCCAGCCAGTCAGCCAGCCAGCCAGGTTTATTCCATCCGGTTTCCCTACCTCCTATCCCGAGAATGCAAATACTCAGCATTCCATGCTCCACTTGGAAAGCAGTCCCCTCAAGCACCTCCAAAATGGAATCTTGCCTGGGCTGAAAGAGGTCGAACACCCATGTTCCACAGGGTTGCAAAATCTAATTCCCAACATGAGCAACAGGTTGGGGGGGCGGGGGCAGGCACAGGGCTTTTCGTGCTGGAACTGAGCACCCCCGGTAGCATGACAGTGTGGAAACCGGCAGGGCTCCACTTTCATTGCTGCAATAGCCTTGATTAAGACGGAACGATTTCTGAAGACGCGTCGATCAAATAAGCCCTTTCTGTCTCACTGATCTCTTAATTGTTGTCTTTGCAGCGAAGGGGAACTGCCCTACGCAGATGTTTCCTGAAATCCACTTCTCACCAATCCCTGTTTGTTGCTCTTACGCCACAGCTGAGCCTGACAGAGGTGGGAACCAAGTAAGGAGCAGAGAAGAGACTCTGCCCTTAGCATTCCTTGCTCAGAGTTGTCAACCGCAGATGCAGTATATAGGGAGGGCAGGAAACTACCCTGTAATCTTCTCTGAATAGCCGTCAGAGACCACATAGGATTTTCCTATCAGAAAAGGGATGCGGAGAAACTGCTTGGGCTTGGCAAGGAAGGCGAGGACTGCACTACTGGCCTTTGCTGTGCAATCACCTGCCGGGATCGGGAAAGGTCCTGACTTGGGGCCACCCTGGGGTCACGCATTGCATCTCCAGGTGTGCGCACTGCCGTAAAAGA